GAATCCCTAGTCCCTACTTCACATGACCTGTCAGATCTACATGACCCCAACTGGATGGCATTCCCCTATATATGGAATTTGGGTGGGTGGATGGGAGGGGAGGGTGGTTAGGGTGCATGTGAGAGGGCAGAGTGGGTAAAAGGGAGGGAAGGAGGGAGGGAGGAAGGGAGGAAGGGAGAGGGAACTGGGATCGACATGTAAAATAATAAATTAAAAAAAAAATGCTTTGACTCCAAAATTTAAGTTCAAGGACAAGTTACTGGGGAAAATGATTTCTAATTTTTGTTTCCACAGAAAATGGAAAGATGTGGATTCCTTGCAGACTAATGTTATTTCATCAAGCCAGACCACCTGAAACAGAGTACCAGGTGATCCTACATTCAAAACAGCTGGAATAAGCAGCCTTACAGACTACAGCCAGGATTTCTGCATCTTCTTAGAATCCCCCATGACAGCGCCCCTTACCAGCAGGAAGTAGTTTGGAAAGAACAACACCCAAATTCCCAAATATTGTCTATAAATGTTTGTTTTCATTTAAATGGACTTGGTTATATAAAATAAAAAATCATTAAAAAAATAGACACTCTACTCAAGATCTAATATATCTAACAGATGTAATATGTATGGATAGATGTACACAAATTAGGTTATCTTTAAATACTTTTAAGCACTACAAGTTTGATGTTTATTAAATCTTTACTTAAATTTAAAAAAACCCAAAACTTTAGTTTGTTTGTTATGTTTTTCTAAGGCAGAATTTCTCTGTATTGCTTTGGAGCCTGTCCTGGAACTAGCTGTGTAGACCAGGCTGGCCTTGATCTCATAAAGACCTGCCTGCCTCTGCCTCCTGTTAACTCTGGTTTTTAATTTTTGTGAAGATGACCTGTCTATTGGTGAGAATGGGATATTGAAGTCACCCACTACATGTTGGAATTAACTTGTGACTTTTGTTTGATTTAAAAATTTTATTTGCATGTGGCTTGTGTGTATGGACATTTGTGTGCTAGTGTGTATGGGCATGTTGCTAGTGTGCACACACAATATACACACATGAATGCTGTACCCTGAAGTTGATACTGGTATCTTTCTCCATCACTCATTTATTGAGGTATGTTCTTTTGCTGAAGTCAGAGAGCACCAATAAAAGATAGTCTTATCTAGCCAGTTTGCCTTAAGGTTTTGGCTCTCCTCCAGAATGTTGGGATTACAGAAAATCACCACATCTCTCTGGCTTGGATATTGGTACTGTGGTTCAGTACTCCAGTCCTGCTACTTGTATGGAAAGTACTTATCCACTGAGACATTTTTTCTACCCTCTAATCTTTGACTTTACATCTAGTAGTTTTTATTTTATGAAATGGGTTCACATATGATAGGTGCACAAAAATTTAGAATTGTAATGTCCTCTTGACAGACTGTGCCTTACATAAAATGACTTCTTGTACCTTCTGACTGCCTGGCTCTGTCAGGCATTAAAACAGACACTTGTTTGTAGTTCTGTTTGTTTGGAATCCCATTTCCATCCTTTCACCTCAGGGTATCATCTGTTTATACTGGTAGCACATTTCTTGGAGACAACAAATAAATGGATCATTATAAATTGACCCCACAGGGCTCGTCTGTCTTGGTTGTGAAATTGGGAGTATTATTGTTCAGAGTTGTTATTGAGAAGATACACATTGATCCTGTCACTGTAGTGTTTGCTGTTTTCCTAACCTTCATTTGTTGACTACAGTTGCAGTATCTATTTTTTCCCATAGACTCTTGGGTGTGTTTGTTTTCTTTAGTCCAAAACATTCATTCTAGTATCATCTGTTAACCTGGCTTAGCAGTTTTGGGAAGTCAGGTCTGTGTTTTGTGCATCCTGTCTCTGTCTGCCTTCAGCAATAGTAATTTGACTTCTGTCCTAGGGTTCCTGTTGCTTTGAAAGAAGATACCATGATCAAGGCAACTCTTATAAAGAAAAACTTTGTTGGGACTGGCTTACAATTCAGAGATCATTATCATTGTACTGGCTGGTTTTGTGTGTCAACTCGACGCAAGCTGGAATCATCAGAGGAAGAAGCTTCATTTGAGTAAATGCCTTGATGAGATCCAGTTGTAAGGTATTTTTCATTTCCTCAATTAGTGATGAATGTGGAGGGCCCCGCTCACGGTGAGTGGTGCCATGCTTGGCCTGTTCTTGGGTTCTATAAAAACATCAGGGTTTAGCAAGCCATGGGAAGCAAGCCAGTAAGCAACTCCCCTCCATGGCCTCTGCAGTAGCTCCTGCCTCTGGGATCCTGCCCTGTTTAAGTTCCTGGCCCGATTTTCCTTTAGTGATGAAGCCAAATGAACCCTTTCCTCTCCAACTTGCCTTTTGGTCATGGTGTTTCATTGCAGCAATAGAAACCCTAATAAGACAATTGTCATGGCAGGACATGTCAGCATGCAGCAGGCATGCTGCTGGAGGAGTTCAAGTTCTGCATCCTGATCCATAGACAGCAGGGAGAGAGCGAGCTTCTGGGTCTGGCTTGAGCTTCTGAAACCTCAAGACCCACCACCCAATGCCATTCCTCCAATAAGGCTGTACCTACTCTAACAAGGCCACGTTCTAATTCTTTCAAATAATGCCACTCCCTATAGGGAATCTATAGGATTTATTGTCTTTCAGACCTTGAAATATTTCATTTCTAACTCTACTCAAAATTTTGTTAAGAAATATGCTATTTTGATGAGTCAACCATTGTGCAGCTTTAGATATACCCTTGTGTATATTTAGTGTTTTAACAATAAGATAACATGGGAGGTTTGCTATTCTAAATGCCTTCAGTACCTGAATGAGGGAGGATATCAAAGGTGGTGTAGTTTCATTTTATGAAATATGTTTTCATGTGCCTTTGACATGAAACTTATGTCCATGATTCATAGATTTGGTCTTTTCATAGTTCCTCATGCATCCTGCATGTTCCACACACACACAGACACACAGACACACACACACACACACACACACACACACACACACACACACACACACACACACTTGGTTTTTCAAGAAAGGGTTTCTTTTGTATAGTCTTGACTGGCCTCAAACTCAACATTGAGATCTGCCTGCCTTTGCCTCGAGTACTGAGATTAAAGTGCTGGGATTAAAGGTGTGTGCCACAACTGCCCAGCCCAGGCATATTTTTTCAATTAATGTCATTGTTAATGAATGACCAGTTCCTCACTGTCCTCAAGCCTTGCTATTCTTGTCTTCTGCTTGGTCCTGTGTACTGAATCTTTCCACGGATCTCTTTGAGTTGAAATTTTCATTTCTATTTGTTCAGTTTTTCACTGTTTCTTTTATTATATTTCATTTCATATCTTATGCTGATTCCCTTCTTTCATTCACTCTTCAAGTTCTCTTGGGATTCAGTTTGTCTTTTTAAAATACATATATTTGTAATCATTCTTTTCATTCTTGAGATTTCATTTAATGTGATCTCAGTGGGTGTAGTTACTGTGGGCTTGGTAGTTTTCACAGTTGTATTGTCATGGTATCCCAACTTTTATTTGTGTTTAGGTGTTTTGCCTATATCTGTGTACCAGCATACATGTCTGGTGCCTGAGTTGGTCAGAACAGGGCACTAAATTTCCCAGAACTACAGTTACAGATGGTTGTGAGTTACCATGTTGGTGCTGGATCAATCCTGGGTCCTCTGGGAGAGCAGCTAGTATTCTTAACCACTGAGTCAATTTTCCAGCTCTGTTGAACACTGTAGCTTTGTAACAGATTTTTCTTGAGGCATGGGGTGTGTATATGTGTTGCTCAGGCTAATCTCAAAACATTGGACTTAAATGACCCTTCTGTCTTAGCCTCCATATGCTGGGATAACAGAGCCACGAAACATGACACCCAGCTTATATTTCAAATCAGGAAATTCCATGTATTCAACTTTCCTCAGAAATGGTGTGGCCTGTTTAAAAATATTTCCATATGAATTTTAGGATTGTTCTTTACCGGAATAACGCCACTAGGATTCTGATGGCAATTACATTGAATCTACATATTTCTATGGGTAGTGTACACACTCTGATAAGAATTATTTTGATTCACATTGTGTATCCTTTTATTTATTTTCATCTTCTGTTTCTTTGACCAGAGTTTTCTGTTTTTGGTTTTTGGCCTAGACCAGGCAGGCCTGGAACTCATCAAATTAAATCCCGCCTGCCTCTGCCCCTGCCTCCTGAGTACTGAGTTTAAAGTCTAGTTCATTTTTTTTTTTTTTTTTTTTAAATTTGGACTTCTAATCAAGCCAAAAAAAAATTTTTTTTAAAGCATTAAGAATTTATGTTTAAAGAGTAAGACAAAGTCAGGAGGTGGTGGTGCATGCTTTTAGTCTCAGCACTCGATGGCGCAGGCAGGTAGGTCTCGGTGAGTTCAAGGCCAGCCTGTTCTACAGAGGGAGTTCAGGACAGCTAGGGATACACAGAGAAACCCAGTTTTAAAAAAAAAAAAAAGTTTCAGAAAATGGTATTGCATTTATTGAAAGACATGTAATTTAAGTATAATTATGTAAACTTAAATGGCACATGATTATGATTAATCTGAATTTATATGTACATTTTCATTTTCAGTCCAGAGCATTACATTCATGCAGTGGTAAGAAGCACTGATTTTTTTTTTTTTCCTCAAATGTCCATCCTCAAGAAATAAAGAGTGTTTAGCTGAAGTTGTTACTTTCTGTTTGAATTTATGATACCATAACAGTTTAAGCCAAAGCCTAGGAAATTTAAATGTTATTTATGATATATAAAACACATACAAATATATATATTATATATACTAACATGTGTGTATTACTATTATATTTGTGTACATATTTTATATAGTAGTTAGATCTGGTTTTTGCCTTTGAAATTTTCCAACATTCTGAACTGTTAAGATCTTGAGCCTATACACAAAGAGCATTGGGGCAGCTTTAAGAGTCCGTAGATGTGTCATGGTCCCCGTTCTGCTCTTCTTGGATGTCAAGTGTGACATCTTCATATAGCTTGGCTGTAGAAAGTGTATCCTGCGAAGTAACTGTGTCTTCTGAATCTTCTTGTTGGTCTGCATCAGAAGAATCCTCTTCTGGGACATCAATCATGATATCTTCACATAACTTGGATGCAGCAGCCATATTCTGTGGAGTAATGGTATGTCCAAAGCCCTGATACTGGCCCAAGGGGGATGATGACTTTGAACCAGCAGAAACTGCATCTTGTGACGATGAGGAAAGCAGGCTTGTGTGTTCAGTGTGCTCTGGATCTTCAGGAAAACATTTTTTCTTCGGATAACCTCGCATTGTTCTCCCTTGAAGACAATATAAATTAGCCAAAAGTTATTTTTATTATTCTAACCATAATTCTATAACTGTCCCCTTTTCCCTCTTTATCGTCCCTAAATTAGAAGAGCCTGTCTTGTGGTATTGCTTTAAATACCACAGTATTACTTAAATTACTACAGTAAATGAATGACCTTATCTTATGTATTTGGGTCAGGGTGATGCCTCAATCTGTAAAGTGCTTGCCAAACAAACATGAGGACCTGAGTTCAGTCTTCAGCCCAGGTACATAGCTGGGCAAGCTTGCAATCCCTGTGCTAGCAAGGCATATATAGAATCCCTGGGGCTCTCTGACCAGCCATCCTATCTGAATCTCTGAGCCCTAGGGCAGTGAGAGACCCTGTTCCAAAACCTAAGCTGACAGCTCCTGAGGTTCATCTCTGACCACACGTGCACATACCCACCCCTGACCCCCGCTATAGACATAGTCACACTAACAAAAGTTAGACAGTTGTTACTTACCAACACGTCTTACTTGTTCAGAAATATCATCTCTGATATCTGACACATCCCACATAGCGAGGAAAGAGTCAAAGCATGAGCCTTCCTCTGCCTCTTGCACGTAGGGTTTATAGGAGAAGGAATAATGATGGGCAATCGCCGCAAAGAACATTTCGATGCAGATGATGAAATCCTACAACAGCCACAAGAATATCAAGCATCTCTGGGTTATATCTAGTTTTTCAAACTGCTAACTTTTTCAAAGTTACTTAGGGTGTCAATAACTTTTTAAAATATAATCCAGATTTTATTCATTTTAATTTTTTTTTTCACTTCAAAACTTGACAAGCCAAGATTTATATCTCTTTGGCTTTCCCTTGGCCAAGTATTTCTCCATCTGTTACCCAAGTACCGAAAGGGACCAGGAATGAAATCATTACCAATCAGTACCTACTTCTCTAGGGTTCCTGGTCCTCACTACAGAGTAAGCTAACAGTTTGCCCACTGTTTACATGTTGGCAGGTTCGGGGCGACACTGCATCAGACAGCTTAAACAGTGAAATCCCTGTGTTCAGACACAGACGGCTACTTACCTGTAGGCCTGTGGCTACAGCTTCCGCACTTTGCCATTCCCACGTACGCTTTTCTGAAATAACGCCAACCTTAACCAACAAAGCTATAAGTACTGCTTGCCTGTATGTTAAGAAAAGACTAATGTCAAATCTAAATCATGAAATGACCAACTGTTTTTTTTGCAATTAGGAGCTATGAAGATGGCTCAGTTGGTAAAGCACTTACCACACAAGCATGAGGACCTAAGTTCAAATCATAGAACCCAGATGAGGCTGGCATGGTAGTGCATCTGTAAACCCTGTGCTCCTATATGGTGAACTGAGAGGTGGGGTAAGACAATCCTGGGAAGACTACAGGCCAGCAAGCCTGATGTGTGCTGAGTGAATAATTAAGAGACCCTGTCTCAAAGGAAAGGCAAGGACTAACACCCAAAGTTGTTCATCTCCATACGCACACATGGCATGCACATGTCCCCACTCACACAACAGACACACACATACAAAAAAGACTTAAATGTGCAACCAAAAACAGTTAATCCTCAGTGCTAGGATTCCCCACTATCCTGCCTTCAGGGCACATTCCCAAACAAGTTGTGCTTATATTAAATACATTCACCTTGAATTTCATTACGTATTCTCAGAACTCCCTCATTTGGTTTATACAATTGTACAAATAATTAGATTCTAAGTTCTAATAGCTTGTAAGTAAAGGCCTGATACTCAAGTGTGTTTACAGGTATACTCATTACTAGGATTTCATTTTATCATCCATCCATTTAGATGCAGGATCTTTCTCTGTATCCCTGATTGTTCTAAAACTTGCTCTGCTGACTAACCTGGCCTTGAACTCAAAAGAGATTTGGCTGTCTCTGCCTCCCAAGTGCTGAGCTTAAAGGCATATGTCACCATACATGGATAATTACTAGAATCAAAAAATTTAATATTTATTTTTGGCTGTGCATGTGCATATATGTAACATGTTGTGTGTAGGTCAGAGGACAACCTGTAGGAGTCATTTCTTTCCATGCACTTTGTGGGCTCTTGGATGGAACGCCAATTGTCAGGCTTGGTAATGGCAAGCATCTTTTCCTGCTGATCCATTTCACTGGCCCTATATTTTCAGTTTTGAACCTTACTTCTTATGGTTAGTGTGGCAGGGTACTAGAGAACAACTTTGTGGAGTTGGTTCTCTACCTTTATAAGGGTTCTGGGATTCAAACTCAGTTCATTAGGCATGCATAGCAAGTGCCTTTCCCTGCTGAGCTATCCTGCCAGCCCACAGATTATCTGAATTATAATATTATTGAGTCCTAGAAGTTTTATAGAATAAGCTACTTCTGTAGAAGACTGCATGTGACGTGTGCCTCACATACTAACAATGACTTCTGTAGAAGATTGCATGTGATGCCTCACATACTCATAGTTACAGTATAATTTCATGGAATCTTTCTCTTTTCTCCTTACTGAATTGCTAAACCATACACACACACACACACACACACACACATATAACTTATTACCTATCCTGTTTTTAATCTAACATCATGTAGACCTTTTTTGTTTACTTTGCAACACTGAGGACAGACAGTAGGGCCTTGTATAAGCTATGCATTCTGACCTTGTTTTTAAAGGACACTCACTGACAAATACTTCCCCACATCATTAACTGTTTTCTCCCAAATTGATAGTTTCATTTATGACAGAATTATAAGTTTAAGTAATATATTCATTTTGAAACAGGGTTTCACTCTAACTCTGACTGGCCTCAAACTTGCTATGTAGAGCTTGCTAGCCTTGAACTCACAGAAAACTACCTGCTTCTGCCTCCCCAGGGAGAGCTGAGATCAAAGGAATGCACCACGGCACCAAGCAGATTCATCTTTTCAATGTCACAGTGACCATCTGACTACTTTGATTGTTTAGATACAAGATCACTGATGGATCACATGGGAGCAGGCTGTCCTCAAACTTACAATTTGAGATTCTCTTGCCTCCCTCTGAGCGCTGGGATTACAGATATGTACCACCACACATGACTAAGATTATTTGTTTTTTTTTCCTTTAAACGTTTTTTAAAAATAATTTTTAATATTTATTTTTATGTGTGAGTTTTGCCTGCAGATACCTGCAGATACCAGTAGAGGGCATTAGAACTACCTGGGTCTGAAGTTACAGAAGGTGGCTGTGACCCAGTAGTCATGTTGGTGCAGAGAACAAAACCCTGGTCCTCCACCAGAGGCTCATCTGCTGAGCCATCTTTCCAGCCCTGTTTTCGTAAATCTTACAAAAGCTAAAGGGACTCCTTTGAAAAAAAAAGTGTGTGTGTGTGTGTGCTCATAGAGGCAGAAGAGGGTTTCAAATCCCTCAGAGCTAGAGTTACATGAGGTTGTGAGCCTCCAGACAAAGATGCTGGGAACTAAATTGTCATCCTCTGGATATACAGCAAACTTTCCTAGCTGCTGAGCCTCTTCATGCCCAGGCTGACCTTAAACTGGAAATCCAGCCTCAGTCTTCCAAGTGCTGGGATTACAGACAGGCATCACTGAGCCTGGCACTGTAGTCACATTATTTAAAAAGCTTCCTCAACCAACAGTTTTATTGGCATTTACAAAATGAGAGAAATTATTTAAGAAAAACCAATACTTACCAGAACGACACAAAGACTACGAGTTTGACACAAAGAAATTTGCCAACAGGTTGTATAGGGCTGAGCTCTTCCTTTAGCACTTTGTAAAACAGCAGGAGGCAGTACATGGCAAACTAGAAACAAAAGCAACATTTAAGACTCTGCAGTAGGAAAGACAGAATTGTTAGAGGCAAAACCAGAGCCCGTGTTACAGTAGCGTTCCAGGTGGAACTTAGGGCCAATTAGCAATGTTTTAGTGCCTTTACTATATATATGAGACTTCTCAAGAGAGATATGAACATTTTTCCAGAATATGTTTCTAAGTGTTCAATACTGGGGCTCAAAGCAATATGCAAATGACATGAACAGAAGAAAAGGTAAAAGTTTCCTTCAGCCAAAAGAAGAAGGCAAATATATTTGCTAATGCTTTAAACACAAATTACTGCCACTTTTATAAAACTTAGATTAACTACTCTGTGTAACATTTACACAACACACACACAGTTTATAAGTCAACACATTAAATATGTACAGTTTCAATAAAATTATGACCATGAAATCTGCATCATACAACTTTCCTTGAGAGCAGCAGGTTACTCCAGCTGCCCTTCTTAAAGTGCTCCTGATTTAGTCAGCTAGTTAACCAGTATTTCAACAGCAAGAAGCATTTCTGAAAGATTACTTTTCCCATTAAAACCACAGATAGCTCATTTAAAATACTTCAGGATGTAAAAGCAGGAAAGGAGAACAAAGTTATTCAGATCCTTTCACTGGAGCCAGGGCCAAGCAGGGTACTTGTCCTACACTCATAGGGCCTTGGGTCCAAGCTCTAGTACTGTTAAAAAACAAATTGAGATTCAGCACTGAGCCATTTCTCATATGAACATATGAACTGTTACACTCATGCTAGGATCATACCCAGAGCTGTCTGTGCTAGGTAAATACTCCAGACATATTCCATCACATCACTTATAACCCAACTTTCTAACATCTGTCATGAACTAAATAAAAGTTTGTTCCCCAGAATCTTTTTGAACTGAAAGTAGCTAACTTTTGTGTATGTTTCATTAGGTTTACTTTTATTATTTCTAAATGCTAGTGGGAGGACCAAATTATGCCCACCTGGTTAAGAGTGCTTCCAGTCCTTTCTTAAATTGGGTATTACATCTCAGAAAGCAATGACACTTCTGACCATTTCTTCAGACTACAGGGTTCCTCTATGTAGACCTGGCAGTCTTGGAACTCAATTTGTATATCAGGGTGGCCTAGATCTCAGAGATTTGCCTGCCTCTGCCTCCTAAATTCTAGATTAAAGGTGTGCAATGCTATGCCCTGCTCCATTATACACGTCTAATACTGTATGTATGAGAAGTGTTTTGAGTTACTATACTGTAGAAAACACTACCTAAAACTTTGAATGACATACCATCAGCTCAAACACTGTCTTTAGAGCCCTTCAGTTCCTAGAACAGCACCCATTTTAAAATAACGTCAGTCTCTCTCTCTCTCTTTTTTTTTGAGACAGGGTTTCTCTGTGTAGCCCTGGCTGTTCTCAAACTCTGCCTCCAAGGTGCCAATTAGACTTTTTCCTCTTACTGAATAGGCCGATTGAATTATGGTTTGTTTGTTTATTTAGAAGGTAAACAGCTTATACAGCTGTGCAGTAACAAGAGCAAACAGGTCTGCATGTAAGTCACCAAATCATTCATGGACATATTATTGTACTTCGATATTGTATAAAGGCATACATTAAAGTTGTTTCAAGTTCCATGTGTAGATTAAAAGGTAATTTTTTTTTTTCTCAAGTAATAGTGCCTGGTAATACTTAGCAACAGAAACTAACTTAGTATAATTAGTATAATTAAGAAGAATGATGATTTACTTACCAGCTGTGACAAATTATTTATTATAACCAAGTAAGTCCAAGCGTTGGAGAAACTAAAGTTCCCTTCGTCGTAGACACCAACAATCTCACATATCCTTAAAAATGGCAAAAATCAACTTTATGACTAATCAAGTTAACCATATCCTAATATGTACCCTTTAGAGACTCATTTTATGTATAAGAATGTTTTACTTGTGACAATATGCATGCAGTGCCCTAACAGAGTGTTGAATACTCTGGAACCAGATTTAACTAAACCTGAGTCCTCTGCAAAAGTACCAAATGCTCTTAAGCACTGAATGCTCTCTACCCCTGAACACAAATTTAGAGTCAGTGTGCTTCAGTAAGCCTATGGAAATCACTGTACTACAGTTACTAACAGAGAAACATTTTTTCTACATATGTATAATTATTCCCTTTAACTTGAATTATAAACTAAGAACCATTAAACTACAGAATAACCATTAACTTCAAAACAAAACAAGGCCTAATTTTGGAGAGCTTGACTGATAAATGTTAATTAACTCCAGCTCACCTTTTCCTGTAAATTACCTTGCAGGTAAGTATCTGAAGATCCAGACACCCCCACACCACAAGTAAATTTTACCACAAGAATTAAGTTATGTGCTTACAGCTTGTAAGCAGCAAGGAAAGAAAGCATAATTCCATAAGTAATTTTAGCTCAAAAGTAAAATAGAGTTAAACTTTCATTTTGTGAGTTGAAGGACATTAAGTGAGCTCTAACAAATGAATCATATAAATTGACATTTTTGGATTTTTTTAGAGAACAGTTTCCTAGGCAGTTTGAGTATGTTTCATATTTTGGTTTTTGTGTGTGTTTAAGACTTAGTCTCTCTGTAGACCAGGCTGGCTTTGAACTCACAGAGATCTGCCTGCCTATGTTTCCAAGTGCTAGGATTAAAGAAAGGCAGCACCAATTAAGAACAGTGCTCCTAATAAACTCTTAACAAGAAAGAAAATAAATCTGTGTGGTTAACCCAACTAAAGGAGGTTTTGTTTTTGTGATACGTTTTACAGTCTACTCTCGGAAGTAAATCTCGTGGCAATTCTTTGCACTGTTATTATTGTAATGGAACCCAGCTTTTGTACATATATTTAAAACATTAATCAGCATTGTTTTTCCTATTTAAGAACATACATTATTTTTTAAGACAGGACCCAGTTGGGCTTTAAACTCTCATTAAGTGCTAGTATTATTTGCCATCAATCACTACACTTGGTTTCTGTGGTGCTGGGAATTAAATCCAGGTCTTTGTGGATACAAGGCAAACACTCTTATCAACTGAGCTATATTCCCAGGCATGTATCATGAAGATTTAAAAAACAAACAAACAAACAAACAAACAAAAAAACAAAAAAACACTAAAGGAAGGTCATACTTACAATGCTGTAACAGTGGTAATTGGTCTGACCACAGTGTACTGCAATACCCCTAGTTTGCATCGAAAGAGCAGCATTCTGCAAAAGACAGAATATAGCATCTCAACTATTCAGTGGCATCATTACATCTCAAAGCCTCCAAACTAAAATCACTTTGACAAATGACATCAATTACATTGAATTCTGCCAATTTTGTTCTCCTAAATGACGGTAGGATAAGAATGTGAATGGCAACAAGGAACTCTGAAGACCGCTTTGAAATGATTTAATGACTTTACCTCTGAAAGCCTCCCTTTAGCTCCACTATAGTGCAACACAGAACAAAAGGAACAGGAGATGTTGGGACCTTGGTCTTTCCCTGTTTCCTACTCTTGCCATGACACACCTCAAATCAACAGGACCAAATGATCTGAATCTATGAGACAAATAAACTGAACTATCTCAGTAATTCTGCTGATAGAATTGACAGTGATAGCCCTAACTAACACAGCTCCAGAAGCACTGAGGCACAAATGAGCTGTGAGCCTGTGCCCATGAATACAGAAAGCAATTACACTCAGGATGTACTTCCTTGTGAATGTGTTCAGACTTTTCCTGGGACAAGGGAAACTACCCGGGCTGGGCAGCATATTCTACAGGTTAGAGCCCTGGAATGAAGAATGGGAGGCAGGGAGCTGAGTATCAGCTTTCATCTCTCTTTGCTTCCTGACAGCAGATGCCACATGCCATTCCTACCATAATGGACTGTACCCTCAAACAGTGCCCCTAAGTTGCTCTTGTCTGTTATTTTGTCACAGCAGCAAGACAATTAGTTGCGTGATCATGTGATCACACACAAGACCCCATAGAATCCAATTCCAAACTGTAAAAAGATGATGACTAAATATTTTCTAAGGTTTTCTCCTGCAATCATTCATGACCTTTTCCATTGGGGTGAGCAATGTAAAAACAAAACAAGAACAAACAAAAAAACCTCCCAACATATACATTGTAAAAATGTATTTTGTTCTCTTTCAAACTGTACTATGTGCTAAGTAGGGAAAGGGCTCTGCCTACTGTCTCGGTCCCTTGCAGAGAGCTGACTGACATTTAAAACCCACCCAGAGGCCCTTTAAAACCAAACATACTTACTCTCCCATAGCCCATGGTGGACAGCAACATAGTGGAGGGAGATGCTGTTGCTGATCTTTAGCTTCCAGGTGTAACATCACGTTTGGGAATCGGATGGTTAGGTAGTTGTTAAGGAATATCATAAAGTTATAAATGACGTAAGCTTCATAACACTCCCTCCAGGTGTCCACGTATATGGCGATTTTGGGATATTGCAAAGCCAACCACTGTGGAAAAGCATAGAAGTTAAAGAATCACAGCTTAAATAATGTGAATTACCATTCAAATTCATGCTACTCACAGAAGCTAACTTTAGAATCTGGGAGATCTCATCATATGTGCCATAAACTCTCTAAAATAATCCAGAATGAATTTACTTGGGGAGGACAGGGAATGCTGAGGGTTAAACAATACAAAGCTGTGTTCCATCACTGAGCTACATCCCAAGTCCTGTAACACACCCTTAAAATGCAACAAGCATCTTTGATACAGTTAAACAAAAAAGGAAAGTGCTTGGGGTAAATAATGAACATAAAAAGAAAAGTTAACTGAGTTCTCAAATTATTTGAAGTTCAGAAAAAGACATGATCACAGAAAATGCTGCTGAAGACTTTTTATTTTGTTTTGTTTTTCAGACAGGATCTATATAACCTGGATATTCTGGAACTCACTATGTAGACCTGGCCTCCAACTCAGAGTTCCATCTGAGTGATGGGATAAAGGCATGTAATTTTCTTTATAACTAATTACCAGAGTAGTTATATCCACTGTGGAAAGTCTTTTTTCCTTTTATTTTCTCCTTCTTTTTTGGGGGGGGGGTATAGGAGTATAAATAAAAGACTTAATAGCTAAAAAGCATGAAAGTAAACTATCAGCATCCTTATGAGAATCTGCTTCTATGGGTCCAGCCAACCCTGGAGCAGAAACATCTGAAACAGTCAGACCCCATGTCTGCACTCTGGAACTCACTATGCAGACCAAGCCAGTCTCGAACTCATAGAGGTCCTCTTAACCTGCCTATAGCACTGATATTCTATCAGGTACCATGAGCCAGCTAGAGATGGCTGTGAGTATAGAGAGATGCACCTAGTCCATATACTAGGTACACATTTTGCAGAGGGGAACTGAGCACCAGCACACTCTGATGCCTGAGGTGGGAAAGTAGTCCCTTGTGGCTGCATATGGATGACAGCAATTTATAATTTTACATTCTTTAAAGGATTTAGAGCCACTAACCTTAAAATCAAAGCAACTGAGCAAGGAAAACAGCTATATATTAAAAACATTCGAAATACCAGCATTTTCATTATATTATCTTTCTTACCAATATCAAAAAAACAAGTGAACCTGGCTAGTGGCTCACGCCTTTAATCCCAGCAGAGGCAGAGGGCTCTCTGTGAGATCAGGGTCAACCTGGTGAGTTTCAGGACAGCCAGAACTATACAGTGAGACCCTGTCTCAAAAATATAAACAAAGAAAGAAAAAAAGGAAAGAAAAGCTGGGCTATGGTCGTATACACTTTAATCCTAGCACTCAGAGGAGGCAGTAGCAGGTGAATCTCTGAGTTTGAGGCCTGTCTGGTCTACAGAGTGAGTTCTAGGATAGGACAGCCAGGGATACATAGAAACTCTGTTCCCCCCCCCCAAAAAAAAGTGAAAAACTTCATTTTTTTTTTTGGTCAATATTTGTGTTCATTAACTTGTTAAGCATTCCCTAGTAAGCATAGTTAAGGATCATAAAAGAATCCAGGCAATGGTGATACACACCTTTAATCCCAGCACTTACTAAGAAGCCAGAGGCAGGCGGATCTTTAAGTTCAAGGCCTGCCTGGTATACAGAGTGAATTCCAGGACAGCCAGGATTGTTACACAGAGAAACCCTGCTGCACTGGGAAAAACAAAAACAAAAACAAAAAGTCATGAAAGAATTCTTTCTTTTAAAAGATTTATTTATAATTTTAGGTGTATGAGTATTTTGCCTACATGTATGTATGTATGCTATGTTCATGTCTGGTGCCTACAGAAATCAGGAATTTGATTCCCTGGGACTGGAGTTATAGTTGTAAGCTGCCATGTGGGTGCTGGGAATTAAACCTGGGTCCTCTAGAAGAGCAAAAAGTACTCCTTACCACTGAGCCATCTCTCTAGTCTAAGAATTCTTAATGCAGTGCAATAAAATGTACTTACACTATCCAAACTGTATATTGGGACCATCCAAAGAATCCTATGGAAAGTAAAACAAAGAAACCCATTTAATATGTTTATGAATTAAGTCAGTCAATACTAGTAATAGTAAATATATTAAGATTTGACCTTATAATGGGTTTTTGAAGTTCGGGTTGTGTGTAATGCACCAAGTGTTGCAGAATTCCCCAGAGGGACACAGGTACTGTCAACAGCAGAAAGATACCAGCAATAAACCATGCTTTAGTGTGTATTCCAACCTTGAAATACAAAAGAACACATTAGTTTAGACTCTGATATTAAAACTATAAAGATCAATATTTTTATTTTTCAAATTTTCATTTGATTACTAATACTGCTTGGTATTTCCCAAATAACTAGTAGTAATTAAAAAGATTTACTTTTTAAAAAATTATATGCACAAATGTGTCTGTTGGATATGTGCATATGTGCATGTGTGAGTGTGGTTATCTGCTCAGGGAGAAGAGGGTGCTAGATTCCTTGGAGCTGGAGTGACAGGGTGGTAGCATACACCTTTAATCCCAGCAACTTGGGAAGAAGAGGCTGAAGGGTCTCTGTGAGCTCCAGGACAGCCAGACAATATAACCCTCCCTCTTCAAAAACAAACAAACAAACAAACAAACAAACAAACATCTTATATGATATGTTTGCCCATTCTTGCTTGCTGTTTGTAGGTGAGGACCAGCACCCATGATGCTGAGGACTACTAAAGACCAAGTGTCCTCACAAAGTTCCATTTCAAACAATCATAAGCCAAATGACCAGGAAAATGAGTCCCTGCTGTCATCATGTGCCCCTCATAGTATCACTTCGGGTGCTTCTCTCTGCCTCAGTGCCCTCATCTGTTTAAAGAGGGAATTTCCTGCATTTTGCATTTCTAAGAGGATTAGATAAAATCATAGTTACAGAGTAAGTAAGAGCTCTCTTGAGGCTATGCTCTAGTTAATGTCTCTAACCTTAAACTCAAAAGCGAACCCTTTGTTTAATCTCAGTCCTCTCTATTGTTCTATTATTTCTCAGGCCCCTTCAGAGTCAGAATCTTGAAGACTCAGATTCTCCTGACCCTAAGTTTCCATCACACATTCCTACTCAAACAATTTTGTTCTGGTTCTTCGAACTCCAATGAAATCACTAAGCTCGCCAATGACCTTTCTATTTGTTAAAGTGACAGGGTGGCAACAGGGGACACCATTCAAAATGTCCTCCTTGAAACCCCCTCCCCAGGCATTCGCTTCATTGATTCTTTGTAAATTCCTGTGAAATATTGGTGCCAGGTCCTTTGCTGTTCCTTGTCTCTGCCCTGACCCTTTCATAAGCTGAAACTCAACCCCTAATGTGAATGGCCATATTTGCAGATAAGGCTGATGGGAAGTCATTTAGGTGAAATGAGGTCATAGTCTCAGAGGGTTGGTGATCTCAAAATGAGTGGTTCACCCACCTGAGGATTCAGAAGAGCCTGGCAACCTGAGAGCACCCTCCTCAGGCAGCAACCCCTCTCTCTCTGGTCCTCATGATATCTGACTCCAAAATGCTTTTCAAGACTATGAAAAACTATGCTCCTGAAAGCACTCGGTTCGTGTATATAAACACATGCTTTGCATGTGTGGAGGTCAGAGAATAACTAGGAAGTCAGCGCTCCTTCTATAAAGCCAGGGTCTCTCTGGTTTCTGCTCCTGGGCTGCACACACCATGCTAGCTAGCTGGCAAGCTTCCAGGCAATTCTGTGTCCACTTTCCATCTTGCCACAGACACCATTCACATGGGTTACAGAGAGGGAACCCAGGTGGCCAGGCTCTCTGGTTATTGCCCTACCTGCTGAGCCATCTTCCACAGCCCAGTTTATGGCATTTTCTCATGGCAGAGTGAGTAGAGAACAAGACCCCCATGTGTATCTACAGTTTAAACTGTTCTGAGGTCTAGACTTGCACATCCAACTGCATTACATGACAGGCTCACCTGCAGGTCCTCCATTAAACATCCCTAGCAGAACCTGAAGGGCTCGACTTGGGGTTTTAGCAGTCTGCACTGCTGATTAGAATGGGTCTTAAAGCTTAGTGGCACTTTAAAACTACAGTTGAAGCTCACAACTAAGAAAGGTCATATACGTTCCATTTATCTTCCTATACTATATTTCAAGGAGTACTAAGAGAAAATTATATTAAGATTGCCACACCTAAATATGGGTGGACAAATTTCAAAGAACCTAAAAACAAGTAAAAAATATTTAATATAATTATAATAGCCTTAAATATCTGTGTGGACTGTCAATTTTAAAAAAAGCCAACAAAAGTTTAGCGAACAAAAGAAGCCTACTTTCTGGTTATTAATAACTGATAATTCTAAGTTCATTTTATACATATATTACAAATATCCTAGGTATCCAACTTGTAATGCTTTCCTAATGTCACAATATTGACATCAACAAATAATAAAACATGGGCTAGGAAGATGGCTCAGGTAAGATGCTTGCCTCCAACTGCGCCCATCCCTTGAGCTTAGTCCTCACTCAGCACTCATGATGAAAGGAAAGAACCACTCCCCCAACTTGCAAGCCGTCTGACAAATGGGCCATCCCATGAGTAGACCAACATACACCAACAAATACTTTTTTTTTTTTTTAAAATAAACAAATACAGAAGGAACTTGCGTAAAACTTTTGCTTTGACTAAGGTGTAACTTCAAGTGTGGCAATGGTAGATTGCTTGCCTCAAATGCACAAAGCCCTGGGTTCCAGCCCCAGCGTTGAATAAACAGAACCACTGAGAATGAAGATCATCCTAGATAACAAGTTCCAGAACAGCCTGATCTACATGAGACTTTATCTCATTGAATAAAGAAACAAAAGATGTATCTTCAAATGTAAAAAAACAATTAGCAAAGTCTAACTAATGGGAATCCTTTAATTCCAGGAATTAGGCTGGAGGCCTATAAAATCCAGAACATAGCTCTCAAGGTAGTTTTATTTGGTCTGGTCAAGATCAATATCTGCACAGTGGATCTGATTTCAAGAATAATCTGGGAACTGATGGGTATCAGCAAAGCATTCTAAGCAGCAACATTAACTATTTCCTCCACCCGGTTCCGCCTCCACTTGTAGCGGCAAAATGAAATTAGACGGGTCGGTTTATGTTCAAAGACGAAATGTTTTGCAGACCCCAAGCATTAAGAGGACAAAGGGATTCTGCCAACAAGTATAAGAAAGGGTAGAGGTGCTAGACCTTCTTACCTTCAGTTTCTGAAGTTCCCAAATACACAAGGGAACCGAGATCAGGATGGAAACTACATAAATAAGTACGAGCAGTGGTCGGATCCATCGCCTCCAGTTGTTCCGATTACACGCGCAGGGCATTTTCATAAACAAATTAGCTTTCGACAGCCAAGAAAACGAACTAAACCAAGATTTTGGCGCGTTCTCCCCTTCGGCTGTTTTCTCCTCTGGCACTCTATAGGGAAAAATTTAGCAGCCGCTGGTGCCGCGTCCTCGGGTCGCGCTGTGGTTGCAGCTGCTGCAGTGGCGGCCGCTCGAGATGCTCGCAGGTGCGGGCTGCATCCTCGCCGGCCACCCGGCATGCACCCGGTGCACCGCGGCGTAATCGCCGCCTCACCTGGGTGTCGCCTAGAGCACCATGGCCCCGAGGACAGCCGGGGTGACCTGGGGGCTCTGACCTGCAGCTGGAAGCCAGCCGACTCCCTCCCTCCTGCTCTGGCAGGCGAGTCTCCGCCCCCCGGAAGACCCGGCCCGCGACTTCCTCACTCACGCTTTCGGAACTTCCACAGCAGAGGAACTCATCTTTGCAAGATGTAAGAGCACTTCCGTTTCCGTTCAGATGTTTCAAGCCAATGACTTGCTGTGAGCTTCAAGCTAGGCAAACCCTGTCCGTTAACGTCATACCTTTATGATTGGTCAATTACAGAGGAGGGCGTGACTGTAACCTAGGTTACCGAAGGGCACGGCGAGGGATGTAGAGGAGGTTTCGCTAACTTGGCTTGTCTTGGTGGATCCTGAGGAGGATTCCAGAAGTTGTAGGAAGTGGAGAAGTTCCAGAAACACCTGCTGTATTCTTGAGACTTTGTTCCGTCTGAAGGAAGCTTCAGTGAAGGACAGTCACTGTGGTGCGGAACTTGAGACAGCTTTTATCACAAAAGGCTCCCCAGTTGTCTTTAGGGGTGGAATCGGAAACCAGATGGAAAAAGACAGAATAGGAAACCTTCCCTTAGATTCCAGTCAGTTGCTAGAGTTTGGAGCCTTAGGGAGGGTTTTTTCTCCACAATTTCTGAACGGAGTAGATGACTCATTCTAAAAAAAAAAAAATAGTTTATTTGGAAGTAGCTGCCAATATGAAATGTTCACATTTGAAGCTTGTGTTAAAAGTCCTCGTTTAGGATTCAGAAGGTTGACATTCTGACACCGTATTCGCTGCACTCAAAGCTTTCAACTGTATAGGTTTGCAGAGCAAACAAATGGCAAATGGGACCGTAGTATTTCTAAATGAAGGGAGCAAGCAAACATCTGTGTCCCAATTAGAGACATGCATGTGGCCTATACTGTCATTTTCTGAAATTAGTTATGTCCTTTACCTGTGTTATAGGAGTTGATCTGTATAAAAGTATTGAGAGACAGGCAGTTTTCCGTTTCACAGATGAGAAGTTTCAAGTGATTGGTTTGCCCAAGTCTAAATAATTTGGTTTGTCATTGTTATGCCCAGATAGCAAAGTTCGCCAAAGACCAAGGAAAAGACCACCAAGGAGTCTGAATCTGTACGCAAAAGCAAAGAGCCTTTATTCAAGCTCTAGCTTGGACCCTCCATGTATCTGACCCAATGGTACCAGATTGTAGAGCCTCGAGCTCAGTTGGGGTGGGGTTTTTTAATCATAACAGAGGTTGGGGTGAGGTGCCAGTTGGTGGTTTTTCCTGGAATCCGGTGTTGCCTGTCAGTACACCGAAACTCAGGCCTACTCCCTGGCTAGTTTTTATTAAGCCTGTCATGGCAGCTGTGTGGCTGAGCTGTCCTGGGCCCCATAGTTATCACCTGCAACCAGGGAAATTCTGCCCATTGGCCATGTGGGCAAAATGTTGTGGGCTGGAGTCTCCTAGAGATACAGATGGATATATTCCTGTCACTCTGTGACCCAAGTCTGAAGACTGGCTGCTTCCACAATAATTTCCCTATTTCATATCTCCATTTTGCAACTTTTCTTTAAAGGGGTGCTACAACTTTTGTTTGGTCTAAACTAAAATGGTTAGGAGAAAATTCCTGATCATTAGTGAATGCCTTGTGTGTTAAAGTTCAGAAAATAAGAGAAGACTCTTGTTCTACATCTAAATGCCATTACTATTTACTTCTTGGCAATGGCAGTATTTTTTTCGATAGGCTGTCTAACATGGATTGTTTCTGTGTGTTTAGCCACACACACACACACACACAGTGCTGCCTACTGTCATCTTCCCCATTCTTTCTCATAGAAAACCATTTATTTTACACAATTTCTGAAATATAAATCATCCCTCTGATGTTCTCATGGATGCTCTATCTCACTCAGCCCCTGGCATCCTATACCCAAGGAGTCTGGGATGTTATGGTTGAAGCTCTACTGCTGTCCATATATACCCAAAATGTTGGAGGTTGAGGATCTCCAGCTAGGGTCACCATTCCACAATCTGGTCTCATGCTTTCCATTCCAAACCCCCAACCCAGAGAAATCCCACCAAAAGTCAGCCCCTCCCTGGGACTGCTCAAGACCAGGACTACAGGGCTATATAAGACCTAGTAGCCATATTTGCTATGTTATTCCTCCCTTGCCTTCCCAAAGGTCACTCAGGAGTTGCTTTGTTCTGCTAATATTAAACCTGGATTTGCACATTCAGCGTGATCTGATTTATTACATTGGCCATGACATTACTGCTGGGGTATTTAAACTTTTCATCTAACACCATCCTTTATGTTTTGTTACAGCCATTAAATGTTTATCTGTTTTTCTTAGCCTTCGAGTTTCTTGAACCATTATTAAAACCCAGGGCAATGAAGACACAAAAGTGTCAGATGCAGATATGACTTTGCATACACTTTTGAACTGGAATAATTTTTGATGAAACCTCTGCGCAGCAACAGAGAAACCAGAAATAGTGAGTTTTTCCTTTAAATTTGTTCACACATAAAGACTCTGCTTTATTTTGAAGGTTTCCTTCCTTCCTTCCTTCCTTCCTTCCTTCCTTCCTTCCTTCCTTCTTCCTTCCCCCTTTCTTTCTTGACACTCTATCTGTGTAGACCCGACTGGTCTGGAACTCATAGCCATCCACCTGTTTCTGCTTCCCCAGTGCTAGGGTTAAAAGTGTGTGTCACCATTGCCCCGAAGTTGATAGTCATCGAATTTTAAAGCAAGATCTGCTGACCTTACAGGGCTCTGCAATGAATTCAGAGTGAGAACAAGGGCCTGTAAAGCCAGGAGCTGAAAAAGGCCTCACCTGTGTCACTAGCTACATAGAGGCTGGAGGCCCTGGCCCCTCACTTGTTATGCTTTAGTTTCCCATGAAGTCTTCTATTCTCTCCTGAGTAGCCACATCTTTGCCCATGCCTACCATGTTCCTAGCATAGAAGTTTTCATTCCCCTCTATTCTCAGCAAATATATTTACACACACACACACACACACACACACACACACACACACACACACACCATGGAGGGAGTCTCTGTACATAGTCCTGGCTGTCCTGGACTTGTTCTGTAGACCAGGCTGGTCTTGAACTCACAGAGATTTCCCTGTCTCTGCCTCCCTAGTGCTGGGATTAAAGGTGTGGAATACGCCCAGCAGTGGTAGCAAAGTCTTATCTAAGTATTCTATTTCTTAGGTATTTCAGCCCTCAGAAGAAAAAGGAGGGAAAAGTATGCATAACCACACAGTTTAATTGTGGATATTTGTGTATTCTGTGACAGCTGTATTTATATTTCAAAAATTTAAAGCACAAAGTATCACAAGGCTTCTGTGATTTCTAGCAGCCTATGGTCTGTTGGCCTACAACACTGGGGTCTGTAATCCTAGGGTTATTCACTTGTGTTTCTGACCTGGATTTGTGCACATATGCCTTGCTATTGATCTGTTTCCTTCACCTTTGAAGCCAGCAACAGGAGAAACTTATCCCTCTATCTTACACTCTTTTTTTTGAGACAGGAATTCTGGCTGTATTGGAACTCATCACATAGACCAGATTGCCCTTGAACTCATGGAGATCTACCTGCCTCTGCCTCTGCCTCTGCCTCTGCCTCTGCCTCTGCCTCCTGAGTGCTGGGATTAAAAGTGTGTTCGTGAACACCACATTTGGCATTTTATTTTGTGTGTATGTGTGTGTGTGTGTGTGTGTGTGTGTGTGTGTGTGTGTGTGTGTGTCCAGGTGTCTGGTGGAGGCCAGAGGACAACTTGGTGGAATTGGTTCTCTCCTTCTGCTATGTGGGGCCCAAGGATCAGACTGAAGCTTGGTGACATGTCCCAGCTCACATCTTGAAGTTCCTAATAAACCTGCAGAATTTCTTTTATCATGGAAGATAACATAATCACACATGCAGAAATCTTTGGAGATTCATTGTCCTTTCTACCACACCTACTGGCATTAAAAAGATGTGACTGGGAAGCAGTCTTCAGCTTTTACTCCTCTGTGTCATCATCTGGGCTCTGTGCCCTGTGCATTCACTGGGACATGTCTGGGGCTGGAGAGATGGATCAGCCATTAAAGGCTAGGCTCACTGCCAAGAAGACAAGTGTCTAAACACAACACTTTTATAGCAGATGGGATAAGTAAAGGGGATGGGATGAGCAGAGTTTTCTTTTTCTCCATAGATGGAAGAACACAGCAACTCATGTCCTGCTGAAATGGACTAGGATAGCAAAGAGCTATCCAGTTGGCATAGTGGAAATTAGCCTCACTTCTGCTGTAATAAAAGTTTTGGTGAAACATGTGACTAGGAATGGCATTTCTCAGGTTCCCTTGCAGCCAAGCTTCTGGATAGCATTAGGTTGACCTGGTGTGCTTGCTCCCAATAACCAAGAGGGAGGTTGAGGCACCCAGCTGTGTGGGCTTCTAGTTGCATTCTGGGTTTGCAGCTCAGAAATTCTTGGCAGTGGTGACTTCTTGACTTGACTCATGGGACTCTATTAGTACTGAGCTTCACTCCCTCCTAATCTCCCAATCATCCCTGAAAGGACTTCAGACACTTTCCACCAAATGCTGGGACAGGACATTTTCAATGGGTTTTCTCTGACAGTCAGACGTCACAGTGTGAAATGCTGTGAAGTTTGTATTTCCTCATTCCAATAATGGAAAACTGAACTTTTAGGGGGCAGGTGGCAGAACCTTATGACAGAGTCAAACAATTATGTTTAGTACAACATCATGCAGAGAAGGAATGGTAATGAGAATGGCCAGTCCACTGAGGGTCCACTTTACACAGTAGAAGGTATAGCTTGAGATCTTCCATGCAGTAGCTAAGACCTAAGCAAGTGTATAGACAGGTGAAGACCAGACACCATGGCTGAAGAGTCTGCACACATACATTTATGCACACACTTCAGACACACGTGTGTACATATACACATATATAGCTAAATAGAGGGAGGGTTATTATGAAAGGAATAACCATGTCCTGGGACCTTTAAGACTCCTCCCACACAACATATCAAACTAGTAAATCATAAGCAATATAACCCATAGGGGGCTGTGAGGAAAGGCTCCTTCCCCTCTCTTTGGTGGTGGCCACAAGGTAAGCCAACATGGGTACAAAACAAGAATTAGGAACTATAGAGGAGGAAGCAGTCTGGTGAGATATGTTCCCTTCTTAGAGTCCTCTGCTGATGCCTCTCTGTACTCTGCAGGGCTCTCACTCCACCCAGCCAGACAAAGTGTGAGACTGGAAAACATGGCCAAACAAAGACAAGTCCAGTGAGGGATTCCCTGAAGACTGCTAATCCCCAAAGATGGGGCTTCCAGCAAGCCTGAGAGGCTGGAATTCTTGCTGGGTTGAAGATTGCTGGAAGACTCTGAGCTTCTCCTCATTGATAGAGACTATAAAGCTAGAAGAAGAAATCCTGAGACCCAGTGCACCAGCAGCCTAGACCACCAGCACAGGGAGATGCATGGGCTTGATATTAGCCAGTTGCAGAAGGCAAAGGGCCACAAAATCTGCCATGCTGTTCTTGCTGTGTAGCTTGGGGAAGGAGCAGAAGTCCAACTTCACTGTTAATGCTAATATAATCAGTGCCTGTAAATCACACCTTGAGCAGCTTAGTTTAGATAGCCCCCAAAATATCTGTCTTACAGTAATTGCTGCTACTGTAACAGCCTGCAAGCAGACAGGGCAGTAATGCCTGTATCTGCTCAGAAAGTCCTGTTTGGCCAGTAAGACTGATGGGCCTGGCAGATGACTCAGTAGCTAAGAGTGCATGCTGGAGAGATGCTCAGCAGTTAAGACCACTGACTGTCCAGAGGATCGTGGTTCAATTCCCAGCACCCACATGGCAGCTCACACAACTGTCTATAACTCCAGTTCCAATGTACCTGACATCCTCACACAGACACACATGCAGAGAAAACACCAATGCACAAAAATTAAAAAGAAAAAGAGTGCATGCTCTTGCAGAGGATAGATTTCAGTTTCCAGGGCCCATGTCAGGTAGCTCACACTGCTTGTAATCCCAGCTACAGAAGATCCAACTAGCTCTTCTGGACTCTGTGGGCAACTGCCCTCATGTGTACATACCAACAAAATTAGAATAATAATAATAAAATAAAAATGATAAGAAACAAATCCTAGTAAACTTCAGGGCCCTACCTCTCATGTTTTAAGGAATCTAGGGGCCTGGGTCACACTGGAAATCCTTTTAATGGGGAAGGTCAAGTGGTAGCACCCCCCACAATCCACCAAAAAGAAATATAGCATGTGACAAGTCTCTTTGGGTTCTGATGAGAACATAGACCACATTTGGGCACATAGCTCCAAGCTATGAAATCATATAATACTCACTCCTGCTGTAAGTGAACCAAGACAAGGACAGACTGCAGCATCTGAGCCAGCCGCCCAACACCGCTAGATATCGTATGCAGTGAAGGTGTTTCTTGGAGACTTCCAATTGCAGATAAAGCACTATTGGCTTTGGAAGATACCCACACTGTCACTATTCCTCATTTGAAAAGCTGTCCCTAGCTCACTGCTGGGTCCTGAAACATCATACTTGCTTATAGTAAGTGACTAGGCAGCCTGAACCACCCACCATAAACTAGCTATTGTAACTAAACTATAAAACTGGATACATGCACCAACATTCCTTTATAAAATAGAAGCTGTGATTAGACAGCCCTGGCAAGGAGAAAAAGTACTCTTATTTTTTTAATATGGAAAGCTTCATGATTTTTTTTTTGCATGTCATCCTTGTGTAGGGGACATGCTAATCTTCTCTATATCATTCCAGTTTTAGTGTATATACTGCTGAAGCCAGCACCAGAATGTACTCTTAAACACACAAGCAAATATGTAGACTTGTGGCTTGTTGGCAGGCAGTTGATACAGATTTGGAAATACAACTTAAAATGTCAGTCACTACAGGCATTTTATGACAAAGTTGGAAGAGAAGAAAGGGACAGCTGAAGAGCATGCACTTGGCTGTTGTAGTCCTCCAAGTCGAAGGCTTCAGAAACTCTCCGCTCCCCACAGGATGCACGATTACCTGTAACACTGAGACTCTTCATGTCTGTGCAGCTACAACTTACATGGGTGCAGTGTCCCCAGATATTTCGATCATTCCTTGAGAGATTGCACGTCCGTGTGCCCTTTGCAACAGGGACTGTGCCCTGTGGTTCAGGCCATGGGATCTCAGGTGAATGGCTGAAGTGTTTCGTTCCTGTAGAATGTATTCAAACCTCTGTCATGGTTTGAATCTGAAGTGACAGATTTGAATGTTTGTCCCCAAGCTGGTGATGCTGTTTGTTGGGAACCTGTGGAGCCTGTAGGACATACAGCCTCCCTGGCAGAAGAAGGTCATAGGCCAGGGCCTTTGGAGGTTACATCTGCTGTTGGTTCCTGCCCTGCACTCTGGTGTCTCAACCACATACGTCTAATGCCATCCATTAAGCTGATCTCCATGCCTTCCGTGCCCTGATGGGTGGAAACCCTCGGAAACCATGAACCAAATAAGCCCCCCTCCCAAGTCAATTTGTTCAACCTTTGTGGTCACAGCAATGTGAAAAACCTATCAGATCCTCCCAGCACTCTCTCTGTTTACTCCAGCGAGCCATGCTAAGTGGACGGGTGGCTCTGCACAGAAAGTTTCCAAGCCCTGGCATTTCCTTCACAAAACAGAGGAAATTTATTTTATTTTTTATGTGTGTGGGTGTGTTGTCTGCCTCATGTGTGTGCCTGCTGCCCATGGAGGACAGAAAAGAGCATAGGACTCCCTGGAGCTGGAGTTTCAGACAGTTGTGAGCTGCCATGTAGGAATTGGGAATTGAACCCAGGTCCTCTGGAAGAGCAGCCAGTGCTCTTAACTACCATCTCCCCAACCCTAGAGAAAAGAACTTAAAGTAGAAGAGAGGAGCATGGGAGTGGATTTTTCATGTGTTGCTAACCTAGGCATCAAATTCTGACTTTTACCTCCCCAAATGAAGCCAGAGAAAAGCATTGGTAAGAGAAATGGTAGGGCTGCATACTGCTTTAGTGGCCATGTCCTGTGAAAGAAGAGTAACACAGTGAATACAGGCTCTGTAAACAACGAAGGTGTGGGGATATAGACAGAAAAAAACAGCTAGGGGTTTCATGGCCCAGAGTATCTTAGAGGGAAAGTGGTAACAGTTGCAAAAAGCAGCTGGCCTGATAAGAAATGATCCAGCTTCACATGGAAACTAATCAAAAGATGCCATTAGACAGATAAGGACAGTGAAGGGCATGACATATGACTCTGTGCAAGCTGCTATAGTTTGAGTGATGAATGTCTCCTGAAGGCCCATGTGTTAAAAAAAACAAAAACAAAAACAAAAACCAGCGTGATCTCTAGGATGCTGCTGCTGCTGCTGGGAGGAGGCGGTAGGGTCCTTAGGACCCTGGGAACATGCTCTCAAATGGGTCCCTTCCTGCTCATTGGGCATGAGATCAACTGTTTTCTGTGCCCTATGCATCCTTCTGTGGCTGTCTTAACAGCAATGTCAGAAGCCTTAAAATATACAGGTTAGTTCAATCAGCCTTGTAATTTGTGAGTAAAATATGCTCGTTCTTGTTACTAGTTAATTATCTTGGTATTTTGTTGCAATGACAGGAAGGCGACCAACATTTAAACTAGCAGTGTAGCTTCCTATAATCCATAGGTGTTAGCAGAAAATATGTCTGTTAAGACAACAGTCAGAATGAACAGGAGCATGCTTGCATTAGAGCCCCATGTCTTTTATGTCCCAAAGGCTTACGTGAAGAAGAGACCACTTTTATGCTTCAGTTACAGTGGCCTAGCTGAGAAACTCCAGGCTTAGAATTTCCAGGCTTCTTTGTCAAAGTACAAGGTAACCTGATCAAAACATGCCCTGGAGGAAGACATTGTCTTCTCTTACAACCTCGGTTAGGAAAATGTGTGCTCCCCACCCGAGGCTGTTTATAAACATCCATGAAAAGATACTCTAGAATAAAAGCTGATGGAAATCATGTAACATTGTCTTCTAATAAGAATTAAACTAGCCTAACTGGACATGTAACCTAAGTAGTGAAACTAGGACTAAAACTGACTAAATCCATGTTCATCACTAACTATAGCCCCATCCCAATGTTACACCAATCTCTATCCCTAACCTTAACCATAGGAACTTTAGAGTTCACATAGCTCCATTTTAGGTTTGTATCTAACCCTATTTCTAGCCCCTAAGTCTAAAACCATAACTAGAATCTTAGCAATAACAATAAAAGAAAAAAAGACAAATTTATAAAAGAACTAAACTTGAAAACCAGACATACACACTCACACGCATACACACGAACACATACACACCTACACACATACACACACCACACACGCATACATATACTCATACATACATATACACATATACTCACATACACACACATACACACCATACACATACACCACATACACACACATTCACATGTATACACATACTCACATCCACACACCAGACACACACACACACACACACACACACACACACACACACACACACTACAATGGGTGTATAGAGGACCAACTCCAATCAATCTGGCAAAGTTGCTTGCTTGCTCTCCACTTCCCAAGACAGCACATAAACCAAGTGTCATTATTTAGACTGTTTTTAAAAATATTTTTTAAAAATTAGAAACAGTATTATTTTACACATCAATTCCAGTTCCTTCTCCCTTCAACCCTTCCATGCCCCTCACCTTCCCCCCATCCCATCCCATCCCCATTTACTCCCCAGGAATCATCAAAGTCTATCACATCATTTGGGCAGGACCTAGGCTGAGAGAGGAGCCCTCCATAGGGAATGGACTTCCAAAGTCCATTCCTGAACTAGGGATGAATACTGATTTACTGCCAGAGGCCCCATAGACTGCCCAGACCTTCTAACTAACACCAACATGCAGAGGCCCTGGTTCCCCAGATGTCTGCCTGGGGTCCCACTTGCTCAGGTCAGCTGTTTCCCCAGGTGGCCTTGACCCCTTTACTCATCATTCCTTCCTCTCTACAACTGGATTCCAGGAGTTCAGCTCAGTGTTTAGCTGAAAGTGAGGCCATATAACCTTAAAGAAGAGTTGGGAGATAAAATAAAAGATGCAGTCCCTCAGGCTTGTCAAGGAAACCATCAACAGGGTAAAGAGAAACAGTCATACTTTTTGTTACTGTCAAGCAACTATTTTTGAATGAATAATAATTGCCACACAATCCTAAACATGATTTCTGACTAATTCATTTAGGATTCCAGCTAAAAACACATGATAAATTAAATTAAGTGAATAGAGTAGAGGATGGTTCAGTGGAAGGACTATTTACAAAAGGTGTCAGCAAGGAGCACCAAGGTCATCTGGGACAGCTGTGTAATGTGTCACTAGAATATGGGATTAGACATGCTGTGTGCAAGGCCATCTGAAGACAGGCTTTGTACAAAACCTTCTGAACAGAGCGTTGACTACGCACGGGACACCCATCAGCCGAGTGGAAACAGACCTTCCCCAGCTTTTCCCACCATTCTTGCTCTCTGCTGATGAGATTTAGTGGAAGCCAGAGGATGACCCGTCTCTGCTGACGGGTCCAGAGCATGGCAGAGCAGGGGAGAGGATGGGTTTGGCATGTCAGATGGAAGGAACCCAACTCAGCACAGCAAAGCCAAGAGTATTAGAAATAATCCTTACCCTAAAATATCCCAGCTCCCGCTGCCTTCACTGCTGGCTAACTTCTTTAAAACTGCTATTATGTATTATGAGAAGGAAGGAACTAGAAATCATGTTTGGGACTGAATTCTGCCTACATCTGTACTACACAGTGTTGTTTACTTTTATTCCACACCTGAATAAATATCAATGATTTACATTTTACTTGCTAGAGTCTTCTGAAATTGGTAGAGACACCAACATCCTCATTCCCACTTTATCCAGAGAAAATACAATCTGTTACGATTTTTTAATATGTCCTCATTTGCGTGAGACCACTGAACCAACCTGATGCAGACTTGACCCAATTATTTCAGCCGTCTTCACATTAGATTCTTATCACCAAGGTTTCATTGAACTGAATGACCATAGACACTGATAAGAGAACCTTGGCTCCATGGCATAGGCTCAGCTTTGCATAGTTGGTCAGTTGCATAGAAATGTCTGCCTCAAAAATCAGTTACAAATCACTGGAAGGGTGCTGCTGATCCATTCAAATTCATCCCATTTGAATTTTCAGGTGCACTGCCATAGGCATTTTAAGAAAGTATGATACAATGTGACAGGCATCCTGAAATCAGGGCTGTGTATCTCTGGAAAGAGCAAATGGGTGAGAATACCTAGATCTGAAGTTTACAATAACATGAGCCAACTGCATTGGTTGTGAGGTGAGAGTCTTATTTGTGTAGTGTGTGTTTCTATGGAAGAGGTGAAGCGAGGCAATTTTAACCTTGATAATTAGACATTTGTGCAAGAAGAAGTAATACCCAAGAAAGCTCGATGGCCTACTTTCTTTCCAATAATAGTTCACCTCTAATATTTCTAGTAAGGAGCTCTTGTTATATTATTACATATTGCATTGTTTACATATGTTGTTATTATTCAGTGTTTAGAGAATTTCAAGTTTAGGAAGAGATTGCAGTTTTCTTATTCAGATTATTTTAAGATTGGGACATTTTAACTTTATTAGTGTGTGTATATGCCTCTCTCTCTCTCTCTCTCTCTCTTTATTAGTGTGTGTATATGCCTCTCTCCCCCCCCTCTCTGTGTGTGTGTGTGTGTGTGTGTGTGTGTGCCAAATCTTACAGCTGACATTTTCATTATAGAATAATTTGTCAGGGCTGGGTAGAAAGCTCAGCAGGTAGAGGGTAAAGGACTTGCTGTGCAAATATGAGCACCTGAGTTCAGATTCCCAAACACGCATAGAGGTGAATGTGGTAGTGTGTGCCTTAATCCCAGAGCCCTTATGGTGTCATGGGAGATAGACAGGAGAAACTCCAGAAGCTTGGGAACCAGGTAGCCTGGCTTTCAGGATACACAGACCAAGAAGCGCTTCCTCCAGACAGTGGATGGCAGGACTGGCGAGATGGATGAGTACTTAAGGGCAAGTGCTGCTCTTGCAGAGGAGCAAGGTCAGGTGCCAGCACTCAAGTCAGACAGGTTTGATGGTCTGTGACTCCAGATCCAGGCCACCCAATGGCCTCTTGTGTTCTCCTTGGGCATGGTACCCACATACACAAACACACACAAGTGTGAACATACTAGAAATTTCTTTTAAAAGGTGCATGGCAAAGTTTGTCATTGAGGCTGTACTCTTACTTGCACACACATGTGCCCATACCCAGATACAGGAGCACAGATCACACATAAGTGCCACTGATATATACCAAAAGATAAACAATAGTTGATAAAATTTTACAGTTTCTTGCTGTGCAAGCCTGTTGGTAGAAATTTATAAATTTATAATAACATTCATGTTATTGATTATAAATATTTATTATATGGCATATAATAGTGTGTTTATTGTAAGGGTTACATATTCCACTGTACTACTGATTTAAATCAAGGGGTTCCTGGCTGCTCTTTCTTCAGGAAAACACTGGGAATCTCATAGCTTATATTTCAGCTCCAATTTTGTCACTTTTCCCTTTATTTTTGCTTAGTGGAACCCTCTAGTCACACTCTACAAGCTTTTCCATCATAAAATATCTAATGAAAAAAGAGTCAAAATGTGCCCCCTCAGAGTCTTAGTACAGCATGAAGATTCATAGTTCTTCTTCACCAGCACTCAGAGGCATGCTCTCCCTGTGCAGCGCATGAAGGCACCCAACTTGAGTTGCTACACTCTCACCAGGGAGTATGAGATTCTAGAGGCACACTCATATCTAGCCTTTACAACCCCACATTTGAAGACCTAACTAGAGCTGGACAATTTACAAATACATACAGACACACTCCTAAAGTCTAAAATTATATGTATGAATAAATTTTTAAATAGTTCATCCATCAGAAACCCAGGTGAAACTGTTGTCATTTTTGTCTTGTGGTTTTCAATACTTCCAAAGCCACTGTGACTTCCTTTATGTACCAACTGTGAAATGGACTGGCCATGCAGATTTTCTAAATGTTTCACCATCCATTAAGCATTTACTGGAGCAGGGCTGCGCTGGCACACACCTTTAATCCAAGAACTAGGAGGCAGAGGCAGGTGGATCTCTGTGAATTTGAGGCCAGCCTGGTCTACGGAGCTAGTGCCAGGACAGCTGGAGATACACAGGGAAAGCCTGTCTGGAAAAACCCAAACCAGCATTTACTGAGTATGAGCTTCTGATGAGCACTTTGGGAAGCACTAACACATCCTTAGTCCTTGGTTGTGACACCCCTTGCTTACAATGTCCATCCAATCTTCTATATACTTGCTTAAATTGTCTCAGTCTATCATCTCATCTCATTTTATACCCGTCTCCTACCTTTATGAGAAGATGTCATATATTTTTCCTTGGATGAGTATAGTAACCCTCCCTTAATCAGCCTAGAAATAGGGTTGTGAACAGGGTATGGGAGGGTGGGACAATAAGTTGATGTGCAAAATGACATCTTAGAGAAGGACCTCTTTGCCAGGCTGTAGGCTGTACTGAATCTCCCAAGTCTCTCAACACTTCCTTAACTGTTGTGCAGTGGCTGGGGTTCACCTCCTTTTCCAGAGCACAGCATAGTGTGCCCTGTGCTGATGGAGAGACACTGTTCTAGAACCCATCATTGAGCCCTGCTTGTGCAAATGCACTGTGCCAACAGTGTGTGTAGCTTGTAAGTTCTCCTTGTTGCTCAACAGCACAGTCTGGTCCTTTATTCCTACAAAGGCCTGGGATGTTCTGTTAGGCTTTTAAAACAGTGACCAGAGAGTGTCTTTTATTTTATTTGCAGTGTTTAATTTGCAGTGCTTAATAGGTAAGACATACTCCAGCCAGTGGCTAGTAGACATAAGAATATGTTGCAAGTTGATTGAACTATGCTGGTGTTGGATACTGTTCCTCATGGTTTTATCTCTCTTGTGCAGGTTCTACACCTCTCCTTTATTCTTTAAGTATTGAACATGATTCCCAAGTCAATATCAAGTCAATAAATAATTAAAGGGATAAATGCTATATAAAATCCTCACCTTTAACTCATGACACTGTTGTGACTCAAAATCTTAGTGACAGGAGTAGGCTAGCATAAATGGTTGTTTATATTTCATGTCTATATTTCTACCCAATGAACCAGATTTTAAAAGACTGGGCTGCATCAGGCAAACCTAATTCTACTCATTATTCTGGCACGATGACCATAACAGCATGCTCAGTATGTGTTAGTCATGGTGATAATTAAATTTTAAGAGAGATGTATGGACTTCCAAGACAATGCTCTGTTTCTCTTGACTTTTCTTTCTGATGGAAAATTCTTGATTCCAAAGTAGTGTCAGTATTACTGCTGGTATGAAATACGGAACTGTGCTAAGCTAAGAAATTTATCTAGAGCTGAAGAAATGGCTCAACAGTTAAGAGCATTGGCTGCTCTTCCAGAGGACCTGGGTTCAGTTCCCAGCACCCACATGGCAGCTCATAACTGTAAGTCCAGCTCCAGTGGCTCTGACACCCTCACACAGACATACATGCAGGCCAAACACCAAAGCATATAAATAATAAAAAAGTGAGCTATATTCTCTGCATGGTTCTGGGTATAGTAGGCTTGAGGTCTCCCTCCTCTTCTTCCTCCTCCTCTTCTTCTTCCTGACTGAACTGCTGCTTACCAAAACACAGAAGCAGCTCTTCCTGCCCAGTCAGATCCTTAGCAGAACACAGAGGGAATGCCCTGTAGCAATGGAGCTTGCCTTAGTCCACAGCTGGATTTGCCTTCCTCTACAGCCCACAGCCCACAGCCCAAGCACAGGAGCAGGGGAGTATCATTGACTTCTTAGACTTCCCTACAAGCTGTAACAGCCCCTCATGGCACTTCTTAGAGAGCATTTGTTTGGGACTCTTTCTCAACTCCTCTGACTTTCACTTCTTTAGCTATCACTCATGTGTGCAAAGCCTAATTGCTACAACCATTCTCTGCTCCTATAACACTCTGGGGACTCTCTTCTGTTCTAGAACCTTGACCACTGCTAGTTCTCCATTCTCCTCTCAAGCTGAAATTATAGCAGTCTCCTAGCTAGCATGAGTTCCTTAAATAAAAAGAGCCTCCCCCAAAAGGAATAGCAAACTAACAATATAAAGTGTGTGTGTGTGTGTGTGTATGTGCACACATGCCAGAGTGTGTTCACACACCATTGCACACACATCATGTGGGTTCTGGGGATCAAACTCTGGTCACCATCAGGTTTGGCATCAAGTGCCTTTCCTGCTGAACCATCTTACCAGCCCATGCTTGTACCAATTTTCAGTTGCTGGTTACACATTACACCAGAAACTTGGTGGTTTAAGATATCCCGAACTGTGAATACACAGTGTTTGGGCATGGCATGGCTAGGTTCTCTGTACTGGCATTTGTTAGGCTACAGCCGGGGTATTGGCTAGATTTGTGGTGGGTCTGGGTGTGGACATTTGGCACTTTCTCTTATTTTAGTGCCTGGCCTTTCCAAGAGGCTGTGTACAGGCATAGCCTATACAGGACTTTAAAATTCACTGTGGTAAAGAGCAAATAGCCTGGGTAGGAGGGCAGCAGGGAGGAGTCAAAATCTTGATGAAGCTGAGGGAGGGAGCATTTCAGTATAGGGAGAGTATGAAAAAGGGATAATGCACCTCCCTTAGGTCTTAGTGACTTCTTTCCCCAGAAAGTTGGACCATGGCACAATTTCCAACCATTTAGACATCCTAAAGTGTACTTTTAGAGAAATGAAAATGGCCTAAGTGAGCTGTCCTCATCTTGTATCAAATCTTGAGAGTCCTCGTTATCCTGGTTCAGCAAAGGGACATCTTTATTCTTCTCTCTGAGCTACAGATCTTGACTCCCATTCCATGGTCTCCTAGTAGACTGTCAAAGGCTTCCTGTGAGTAGTTGTTTGCATGAAAATGACCTCCAGAGGTTCATAGATTCGATTACTTGATGGTCAGGGCCTTGTTGGAGAAAGTGTGTCACAAGGGGTGGGCTTTGATGTAGCTCCAGTCTGCCTGCCTGTTACCATGCTTCCCACCATGATGATAATGAACTAAACCTCTGAAACTGTAAGCCAGCTCTCATTGAAGTGCCTTTCTAAAAATAAGAGTTGCCTTGGTCATGGTGTCTCTTCACAGCAATCGAACAGTGACTAAGACACTTACCAACCAGTCAGCTTCAAGCCACCCATCACTCCACTGCCATGTGAATGTGATAAAAATAATCTCTTTTATTATGTCATATTTGCTTCTAATAACTCCTTTGGTACTTACTTCATCAGCACACATACTGAAATTAGAACAATACAGAGATTAGCATGGCCCCTGTACAAGGATGACATGCAAATGTTGAAGTGTTCTATACATTAAGGAAAAAAGGACTCTTCTTTCCATTTGTTGGATAAAATATGTATTTCTTAGGGTAGCCCAGTCTCCTATGTACTGTCCCCAGGCCATCTGTCTAGTCACAATTACTGTATCCACTACGCTGTGCTTACCTGGATGTGGGCTATACCTTTCTATGGGTTTGAATCCCAGAACGAATAAGATGGAGAAAATGAGCTGAGGACATACTTCCATTTGTCTGTCTTTCCTGTTGATGCAATGTGACCAGCTAAACAAGCTTGGTGACATCTCCACCTCAGTTAATGCAGACAGAAACCATATATTGAAAGACTCGCAGAGGGCGTGGACCCTCACACCCCGACTCAGGAAAGGCAGACCCCCCAAATCCCTCACGAGGAGCGGCCTTGATGCAAAAGCATGAGGTCTTTTATATTCCAGTGCACTGGGGTCCACAGCCATACTCCACATGGGGTAGAGGACTGGGAACCCTGGGTACAGGGTTCAGACAGCTTTTATAGGGTTACAAGAAAGCCCACGTACCATAAACCAATCATCTCATAGCATCCAGTGCCGACCAATCAATTTGAACTATCCAAACCTGCCCTTAGGCCAGGAAGTCTGCTTTTGCTAGGGCTTCTGGGTGGTGTGACAAGGCTCATTTCCTGTGTTCACTCACTCACAGGTGCTGTTGTAAACAGCTCTGTCATAGTAAACAGTCAAGAATGTGACCTTTTGCCTACTTACTGCTAGGGGGCAGGGTCTAGGGAGAGTTAGGCTAAATATTTCCATCCTTACAATATTACACAGGAAAAGCATTTGAAAAAGGTCAGTATCTTTGGGCATGGTGGTACATGCCTTTAATCCCAGCACTGGTTGACACAGGCCAGCCTGGTTCTAGGACAGTCAGAGCTACACAGCAAGATCCTGTCTAAGATTTATTTTGTTTGTTTGGTTTGGCTTTTTTGCAACAGGGTTCCTCTGTGTAGTCTCTCTGTCTGTAGACCAGACTGGCCTCAAACTCATAGGAATCTGCCTGACTCTGCCTTCTGAGTGCTGGGATTAAAGGCATGTGCTCTGGTTGACTCTGTTTAAAAAAAAAAAAAAGGAGAAAGAAATTCATTATCCCTTCCTGATAAAAGTATTAAGGAAAGAATAGCAAACCAATATTCAACACACACACACACACACACACACACACACACACACACACACACACAGAGAGAGAGAGAGAGAGAGAGAGAGAGAGAGAGAGAGAGAGAAGAGAGAGAGAGAGAGTAAAAATTCAAAGTTATCATTGATTACTGAGCAAGTTTGGGGTCAGCCTAGAATATGTGAGACCCTTTCACCATGAAAAGCCAAACCTAACTAAACCAAACTGAATGTTATGGTTGAATGAAAAGTTTCTCCTACAGGCTCACGCTTTTCAGCAACTGATTTCCATATGGTAGCAATGTTTTCGGAGGTTTGGAACCTGGAGGAGATAGGGATTAGCTGGAGGAAGTGGGTTGCTGGGCAATCTTTGTGAAGTTTATTTCATGGCTCCACCTCCCGTCATGTCTCTGTTTTAATCTTCCCAGAGTGAACAACCCTCCACAGCCTCACAGCTTCCAGCCATTACAGCTCTATGCTTTCCTTGTTGCAATGGGCTGTGTCCCCTTTACCCATGGGTCAAAATATGGCTTCCCTTCTTTATGTGCTCAGTCATGCATTTTATCACAGAGAAGTGATCACACAAGAAAGTAGCTACAGGAATGAAAGTGTGTGATTATAAATCAAATGCAGTTGGTTATACTTCATGTCTGTCTTATTTGAACAGGGTTTGCACAGCTGGCTGCCTGTGATTGGCTGAGACTTGGCTACTTGTCACAATAGGAGGTCACAATACAAGTGAGGTAGCAACCAAATATGTAGAGAAGCTTTTATACTAACCCTAATGTGGTTGTAGAGGCAGATCTATGTGAAACACTTTAACTTAGTGAACTGTTAAGATCCCAGAATAGGGTCTGGTAGTTGCTGCTCCACAGGTATTTTCTGAGTCATTCTGAACTATCACTATAGGAACCTGCTTGACTTCATTTTGGATGCTGGAGCCATTATGCCGTATTGTTAAAACCAGGTTTCCATGTACTGTAAGAGCTGAGTTTCCATTCCTAAATCTCTGCTTCCTGGAACCTGCCCTGCCTCAACCCATAACCTTGACTTGCTTCTGAGAACAATCTGAAGCTCCCTAGTCACTCCAACATTTCCTGATCACATGGTGATCACCTGGTGATCACATAGTAATGGGTGTTATTCTCTTGGGATTTTCCTGTCCTCCCTCCTCGGTTCATTTTCTTGCTTTTGTAAAGCTGCTTTGCCACTACCAATGATTTTACTCCTCAAAAGGGCCCTAAGAGATGGGCTTTGGGCTATTTAACACGACTTAGAAGGCAGTCACTGGTCAGATCTTGGGTGAACTCCAATGAAAATCAAGGTTGCATCAAATTTGGCTCAAAAACTGTGGTAATGGTCTTATTCTTGCATGGCGGGATTAACATAGGTAAGTTTCATCAGTTAATGGCCCAAGATGCAAATAAGGCTAGCTTTAGCATCATCATAGGCCATATTCTCGTAATTATTATTTGGAACTCATGTACACAAAACCATATTAAAGCAGATGTCCTGTGTAGTAGAATACTTTTTATTTTTTAATTTATTTTTATATTCCAATCCAAGTTCCCCTTCCCTCCTTCTTTCCCCATTCCCTCCACTCCCTCTTCCTCCTATCTGCTCCTCAGAGAGAGTAAGGTCTCCCCTAGGAAGTCTACTAGGTCCGTCCCATCTTCTCACTGAGGCAGAACCAAAGCACCTCCCCACCCCCCACCCTCCTGTGTCTATGCAAGGTATCTCTCCATACAGAATGGGCTCCACTAAGTCAATTTGTGCACTAGTGTTAGATCTTGGACCCACTGCCAGTGTCCTCATGTATTGTCCTAGTCACACCATCATCACCTATATTAAGGGAGTATAGTTTGGTCTTATGCAGGTTCCCCATTTGTCAGACCTGAGTCAGTGATCTCTCACTAGCTTGGATCAGCTGATTCTGTGAGTTTCCCCATCACGGTCTTGACTTCTTTGTTCATATTATCGCTCCTCCCTCACTTTGATTGTACTCCAGGAGCTTGGCCCATTGGTTAGGTATGGATGTCATCTGCATCATCTGTTTCTGGAAGAGGGTTCTAGCTTCTCTGGGGTTGTGGATTGTAGGCTGGGTATCTTTTGCTTTATGTCTGGAATCCACTTATGAGTGAGTACATACTATATTTGTCATTCTGGGGCTGGGTTACCTCACTCAGGATTTTTTTTTTTTTGTTTTTGTTTTGTTCTGTTTTTCTAGTTCCATCCATTTACCTGAGAATTTAAAGGTGTCATTCTTTCTTACCACATTTTCCTTACCCATTCCTCAGTTGAGGGGCATCTAGGTTGTTTCCAAGGTCTGGTTATTACAAATACTGTTTCTATGAACAGAGTTGAGCGAATGTCCTTGTGGTGTGAATGTTCCTCCTTTGGGTATATGCCAAAAAGTGGTAATGCAGGGTCTTGAGGTAGGTTGATCCCTAATTTCCTAAGAGATAGCCATACTGATTTCCACAGTGGCTGTACAAGTTTACACTCCCACCAGCAATGGAGGAGTGTTCCCCTTTCTCCACATCCTCTCCAGCATAAGCTGTCATTGGTGTTTTTGATCTTAGCCATTCTGATCAGTGCAAGATAGAATTTCAAAGTATGTTTTGATTTGCATTTCCCTGATTACTAAGGTTATTGAGTATTTCCTTAAGTGTCTTTCTGCCATTTGAGATTGTTCTGTTGAGAATTCTCTGTTTAGATCTGTACCCCATTTTTAATTTGAATTATTTGGTAGTTTGATGTCTAGTTTCTTGAGTTCTTTAAAATATTGTTTTGAGGTGTGTGATTTTCGTTTATGCTGCATTATTTAACTCTGTGTGGCTGTGTTTTTTTGTCTGCTAACATGATGGTTTAATAGAGAGCTGAACAGTCAATAGCAAGGCAGGAGCAAGGATAGGTGGGGCTGACAGGCAGAGAGGAGATACGAGAAGAGGAGCAAGAGAATAAGGAGAGGAGAATGTCAGGGACCAGCCACCCAGCCATGTGGAAGGAAAGAAAGTAAGGTGTATAGAAATAAAAAAGATAAAATCCCAGAGAGCAAAAGAGCAAAAGCGCAACACTACAATCCTGCCTGTTAATAGAGAAGTACTGCTGCATTGTTGTAAGCATTTTTGGACAGAATTTAAGAAATTTTGACATAACTTGGTTTCAGAAAATGTTTAACAATGACTGAGTCATGTAAGAGTGGTCTTGGTTAAAAAATCAACACAAAACAACAAAACAAATATTTATTTTTCATTATTTTTAAACTGCAATATGATATTTAATTCAAAAATTTTTAAATTTATTTGTTGTGTGTGTGCAGACATTCCACACTTTCTATGGAGATCAGAGGAGAACTTGTAGTGTTGGATCCCAGGGATTGAACTCATATCTTTAGGCTTGGTGGCAAGAGCCCTTAATCCAGTGAGCCATTTCACCAGCCCTGAAATATGTCATTTACAAAAAAAAGCATGCATATAGGCGACACATCACAGAGACATTGATACCATCAGTAAAAACCACAGACATCTTCATTGGATGACACATGGTGTTGTTTATACTTACTGTTTTTTGAGGTCACGTAGTTGTGCACACTTTTAACCCAGTGCTTGAGAGGCAGAGGCAGAAACAGGTAAATCTTTTGTGAATTTAAGACCAGCCTGGGCTATGGAGAGAGTTTCTGTCTAAAAAACAAATCAAATGAACCTAACAAACAAACCCTTGGGAATTTTTATTTAAAAGCAGTTGTATGCCTTCTTAATGTGTCTTTAAAGATTGAAAGGGTACCATACATTTCCAAATAGATCTGTAGCTCAAAATTGGTAAACGTTACTTGCTAGAGTCACTTAGATAAAACAGCCCAAATGAGGCCTAG